ATCTCTGAGTATGCCACTCCAGGGTCTTCCTCCCTGTTTCAGTTTAGAAGTGTGTTGGATACTATGTCTGCCTTCCTGGTCTAGCATGCCAGGCTTCACTCTTAGCATAACGTGATGATAAACAGGTCAGTGATGCAGAAAGACATATACCTTTAAGTGGGCATATCTAAAACAGAACATCAAAAGAGATTACAGAAGAGAGAGCATTCCAAAAGTGAATATAAAGTGCAGCCAGGTTTGAGAACCACTGAAAACAAAGGTGAGTTGTGTGAGCTTTCTGGAAAGGTCTTAGCACCCCTGAATTGTGCCTAGGTCGGACTGCTTTTGCTCTAGCAGAACATAAAAAACTCCTTTGAAAAGCAAAAATGTATATCTTTCTGGAACCTGGAAACTAAATTCATTCACAAGAACAGCTGGATAATAAGGTGAGATGGGGGGAAGGGGGTGGGTGGCCTCCAGGAAGAAGTCTAAAACATTTTCCCAGAGCAGTAGGTGACACAGACTGTGAGAGAAATTGCCAGGAAGGTGAGCGAGAGCCCATGGGGGTGGAAGGAATTCCTGCTGTTCCTGGTCTCCTGCCCCTTCTGCCCATCCTGGGTTCACAAGCCAGCCTCCTGAACCCTGCAGGCTGGTCTGCAAGCCTTTAATGAAGAGCCCAAACCATCACAGGCTGCGAGCTGCAGGGCTGCCTGCGGAAACCACACCTGGGGAAGAGCTCAGAGGGGAAACTGTGCTGAACACAACTGCAAACTTGACCTTCAACCTGACTACACAGGTCCAACTGACCAATCCGATTTAGAACAGTGGTGCTGTTCAGGAAGTCCATTTCCCTTCCCCTTGGAGGGAAGATAAGGGAGTTGTTAGAAAAGAATTTAAATTCTCCTTAAACAAATGTACATTCTGCTCCCAGTACCTTGAACTTCAAGCATGCTATATATGTGTGACATAATATTGTGGCCCACTCTGCCACAAACAAAAACAACTGTTTGGTTTACCTCAGTTGCAGGACTTACTTTTCTTTTCACTGAGATGTCTTGAATTTTGATTCAGCATTATAGAGGATTGCTGAGATGACAATAACCCAAGTAACTGAAGCAGGGAAGCAACCTGACATTTATATTGTTTGATTGATTTTGCAGGCCTGGGGCTGGTGGTCTGGATAACTATTTAGAGGATAACAATATGCAATATAATAACAGTTGTTAATTTCCTGTTGTCCTATTACCGTTTTGTTTTGTTTCATATTACTGTTCTGTTTTATTCTCTTTAAAATAAAAAAGAATATCAATACAATTGATAATCATAATACATGCTCATTAAAGAAATAAAAGACATAAATAACTAGTATTTGGAACAAAAGAGGGGACATCAATATGGAAATTATGTATATTAAAAGGATAATATGTACCCACAACTCAGATATTTTACATGAAGTATATTAATTCTGTGAAAGATATAACCTGCCCAAATCTACATAAATACCAACGGGCCGTATGCATAGGACCATATTTATGAAGTGCTGTAATTGAATCAATAGTATTGACCTTCTAAAACTAAGAACAACAGTGGCTTCAGTGTGGAGTTGCTCCAAATACTTAAAGAAGAAATAATATCATTTTTCTTTAACCTTTCTTCCAGAAAATGAAAAGGACATTTTCTAATTTATCCTATGAGGCTACCTTGGCTCAAATAAAAAATGAGTAAAGACATTACATGTAAAGAAATCTGCAGACAGCCGGGTGTGGGGGTTCACGCCTGTAATCCCAGCACTTGGGAGCCTGGGGCAGGAGGATCGTTGCGAGTTCAAGACCAGCCTGGGCTACAGAGTGAGCCCAAGGCCAGCCTGAACTGCACAGAAAGACCCTGTCTCAAAAAGAAAAAAAAAAAGAAATCTGCAGACTAATATTCTGATGAATATGCAATCCGAAATTGTATAAAAGAATCACACCATGTCTAACTCGGACTTACACAAGGTATGCAAGGGTGGTTCAACATTCAAAAATAAACTAATGTCATCTATTATTTCAGTAGGCTAAAGAAGAAAAATTATTTGGTGATATCAAGATATGTAAAAATATTTTAAAATTCACACAACATCCATTTACAATAAAACCTCTTAGAAAAAATAGGATAAATGGGGATTTCCTCAACCTGATAAATTGGTAAAAGTCAGCTGGGTTTAGGGGAGCACACCTGTAATCCTAGCACTCAGGAGGCTGAGGCTGGAGGATCACTACAAGTCTACAAGTTTGAGGACAGCCTGGGCTACATTGTGCGTTCAAGGCCAGCCTGAACTACATAGAAAGCCTCAAAACAATTTTTTTACAAAAATCCTACAGTAACCTATTTAGCAGTGAGAACCTATATGATTTTCCTCTAAGTGTGAGATAAAGTTAATGTTTTCCCCTCTCATCAGTCCTCAACATTGTACTGGGAGTTCTAGCAAATGAACTATAACAGGAAAATAAATGTATGGAGATTTAGAAGGAAGAAGAAGTACATATGTCTGTGTACAGATGACATGAAGATTTTTTCAGAAAATAAAAAAATCATTAAAAATATTGAGATGAGAAAGTGATTATAGCAAGGTTGCAGAATATAAAGCTAATACACAAGTTAAGTGTCCATTGCTTAACCATATACGCCTAGTTCTGTGTACCTACAGGTCTTATACCTGTGGATTCAAACAACTACAAACTAAAAATATTTTTAAAAATCTACATCAATGCTGAACATGTGAAAACACTTTCTGAGGTCATAATTCCCTAAAAATACAGTATAATAAGTGCTCACATGACACTAATGTTATAGTATGTATTATAGATAATATATGAGTACATCAGTGGGCATAGGTATATTACACACAAATATTATACTTAAGCATCTATAGCATTTGGTAATCCCAAGGTCTGATTGTACCACCAATGAATAAATAGTTTAGGAATAAATTTAACAAAATACACCCATGACCAATTTAAGGAAAAATACAAAGCCAATAAGACAAACAACATTGGGCTGGGGATTTAGTTCAGTGGCTCAAGTGCTTACCTGGTAAGCACGAAGTTGTGAGTTCAATCCCTGGTATAAAAAATAAATAAATAAACAACATCAAAATAAATGGAAAGATAATCCAGGTTTCTGGCAGGTGCTTCAGTATTAAGATGCTAGGTTTCCCCACTTGATGTATAATTGAATATATTTCCAATTAAAATCAAGACAATCTATGTATAGAAATTTCAGTTATTTCCAACTCATATTATATGTAAAGACAAAATAACCTTTACAGTACTAAAGAAGGCCAAATTTGGAGCACTGACACTATCCAACTTCAAGATTTATAGTTAATCAATCACTGAAAAAGACACTATAGTAGTAGAAAATGGTAATGAATCAAGGGAAAGTAGTAGCAAATTCAAAAATAGGTCTTTAGAAATATACTCATCTAAAGTTTTATAAATCGATTAGGTCAGTGTAGAAATATTGAATTCTTAGCAAGTGGAGCTGGACTAACAGAATATCATGCATAAAAGCCTCCAGCCAATGATCTTTAACAAACATTTTAATAATCACAACCAGGTACTATTAAAATTATACAATTTCTAGAATAATAATAGAAGAAATATCTAGATGACCTTAGTTTTGACAATGACATTTTATGGCAGACAAAACCAAAAGCACAATCAAAAAATGACAATGTTGACATAATTAATGTTAAAGCATATGAAACTGAGTTTTCTGCTGCCCACAGCACCTAGCTATATGGCTGCTTCCAAAGGGAGCGCTCTTTCTGGCAAGATGCCTTTGAACCTTTGTCTCCTGTGGATTTGCTGTGGACCGGGAAGCTTGAGCTGGCTGGCAAGGTGCAAGATTGGCATCTCTTGCAAAGATAAAGATATGTAGAAGATCAATTTACATAATCCAATTAAGGTAACAGTGGAATTGTTTGGGGGGCCATGGCTTCTGTTTGTGATATGCAAACTCTTGTGCCCCGGGGAGTCATAGCCTCTTTACCTTGAGGCTCTACCCTGATGACATGCCTGGAGCTGTTTGTTCTAACATCTCACCAGCTCAATCCTGTATGTGAAGAGCACCATGTGAGGAAACAGGACTGTCTGTTAGCTATAGATTTTGCATATTAGCACCTCAGCTAGCCTTATTTGCAAAACTCAGAGTCAATTGAAGAGAAGGAAATACCCTAGCCACTCTTTTACATATTAGTATAAGGAAATGAGTCTCCAAATATTCAAAGTCACAGTAATTGTTTTGGATTCAAAGGGCGACACTGGAGTTGTCTCCCACACAGGACCAGAAGGGTTTGATGGGAATTCTACCAAACATTTAGAGGAGGAGAACACTTTCACACACTCTTTTAAACACTGAAGAGGAGAAGGAATATGCTCTAATTTATTTTATGAGGTCAGCATTACCACAAGAAAGCCAAATAAAGACAGTACATAAATCCATTTTTATTAAAAACACTAATTGTACCTATTAACAGGGTTCAGTGTGGCATTTCAGTACACAGATACAGCACTCACTGATCCCTGTCCTTCATGGACCAACCCCCTTCTTAGCCTCTAACACTCTCCTCCATTCAAGTCCATGTCTCTTAAACTTCTACATGAGTGAGAACAATCAGCACCAGTCTTTTGGCATCTGCCTCATTTCACATAATGAGGTGACCCCCTGCCCCACTCTATCCTTGCTGCCAACAACAGGGTCCAGTTCTTTTTTTGGCTGAACAGGGCACGTGTATCGGTCACTTTCTCTATTCATCAATTGATAGGTGGCCAATCCTGTTTTAGCTATTGTGGATAGTGAACTCCCTGCATCGCCTTTGGATATATTCCCCAAAATGGGATGCTGGACCAAATGGTAGACCTACTTTTAGTTTTGTGGGGAACCCTTAGACTGTTCCCCATAGTGGCTGTGCTGATTCACAGTCCTACAAATGCTGTATGAGAGTTCCTCTTTCTCCACATGCTTGCTAGCATTTTTGTTTTATTTTACTTTGTTTTGAGACAGGGTCTCGCTATGAGACAAGTTGGGCCTGGCCTTGAACTTGCTTATGTAGCCCAGGCTGGCCTTGGATTCACAGTGACCTTCTTCCCTCAGCCTTCCAAGAGCTGGAATTATGGGTGTGTGTCACTACTCCCAGCTTATTGCTAGTATTAGAAATAATTATTATAGTCTTTTAAATAGAGTACAATGGTATCTCTCACTGTAGATGTGATTGGCCTTCTCCTGATACTAATGAGAAAATAATGGAATTGAAAATACTGGACTGTTTTGTGAAAAATACTAGATTGGTTTGTAAAAGGATGTGGGTGTCTGTGTGTGTATACATACAGTAGTCCTTAAGACCACCTTGTGCAGTTAAGAATATAAATGCTGTACACTTATGAAAATATCACTCTAAAGTTTTGGCATCAACCAGAGCTCCACTGGATTAGACAGCCAGGTAACACCCGTGTTCCAGGGAGGATGAATACAAAATAGACTCTGGTCTGTCTCTGAGAGGCTAGGCAGGTGGGGTCCAGAAGGCCCAGGAGGGTGCAGCACCCACTGTGCTAGAGAGTGGGGGAGGGGGAAAGCTGTGGCTGGGCCTCTCCTCACCCCTCCCCCAGCCCAGGAGCCCTTTGTGATGAGGAGGCCACAGCTTTGTGATGCAAACCTGGGACCCCTCCCTGCTACCAGACAGAACTCTCAGGGCTCAGTTGCCTGAGAGCAGCACTGCGATTCAGATGATGGAGAATCTTCTCACTCCTCTGAAAAGCCTTAGCGCCACGTGGCTGAGCCCCAGCTCCACCACCTTTGCCATGGACATGGTCCTTGCCATTGTGTGTGGAGTGGGGCTGTACCTCCTGTTACTGCCCTGGCTCCCGGGTGAACCATCCTTGCCCCCATCCAGGAGAACTAGAACCATCAGAAAGGTGAGAAACCCACAGCTCAGACCCAGCAGAGAACGATTCTGACTCCTTCTACCAGTTTCTGCTTTCCCACATCAAGGGGACAGAGACTGTGGAGAGGGGAGACCTCTGGAAAGAACAGAACATTCTTCCCCGAGGACAGGTGGGCAGGCAGGGGACATGGCCACCAGGACTCTGTCCGCTGCTCTCAGACCTCTGTGATTTGCTGGCGGTGCCAGAGCAAACAGAACATGGGGACTCGGTGGGTGAGGACTGGATTCTGAGAGGAGGGAGCCCTGGGGAGGGACCAGGCCCTCGCACTGGTACACGTCCACGTCTTATGGCAGACGCCTCCAGGCCCAGCCTCTGCTCTGTGCAGGGTAGATCTGAGGGCTGTACTGAGGGCCTGAGCGAGTCCAGTCCCATTCCAGGCTGCAGCCACCATGGTCTCTGATGCTTCTGTGAGATCAGGTTGTCTCTTGTGCAGAGGATCGAAGATACCTGTTGTAGTCAAGGGTTGCAAGGACAACAATTACATACAGGACACAGAATTTATAATATATTTTATGATGGCCACCTAAAGTTAAATACAGGAAAATGCAGGAAATCTGTCCACAGCACTAAAGACCTAGAAAGTCTAGCTGAGGGCCTGGATGCAGCAGTGTCCTGCATAAGTCCAGCTGAAGACTTAGAGCCAAGGACAATACCACCCATGTGTGCAACTGGAAGTATAGAGCCCACAACCATGACTTATGCAAGTCTGTTTTATGGATCTGCACTGTGAAGGTCCAAAGGTCAGTGGTGGAAGCTAGAAATTCTACGCCAGTGGGGTGAAGGAGCTGTGCCAGTAGGCTGAGGGTTCTACACCGGACCCAAGAAGTAAGGCTCAAAATAAGAAACAGGGCTCCCCTGAAAAGTACCTCAGTGCCAATGAGGTCCCAAGCTCCTCCAGTGATGAGAACAGCCATCTCAGATCAGGACCAGCAGGACAAGCTTCTCCTGGAAATTAAACAGCATGCATCTTCCCCTCCAGAGCCAGGAGGTGAAGCTCAACATAAGGACCAGAGCTCCCCCAAAGTGAACCACAGCCATTCTCAGCCACAAAAAGGTCCTGAACTCCTCTGATGATAACAGCTGTGTTCATGTAGGGGAACCAGCATGACTTGCCCTCCAGGACAACCAACAGCTCCAAACAGCAGCAGCACTTAGGAGAACCCACAATGCTGCTCTTCCTCTTCAGGTCTCCTTTTTGTGCTGGCAAACAGTCCTCAGATGGGCCATCCATTCTCAGACCACGCTGACTCAATTCATCTGGTGTTAGGTTGACCACCAGTTTTTAATATACAAAGGCCACTTATGGGGATCTTGTGTTAGAAAGTCTTTGTGTGTGTCCAAAGAAGGACAGGAAAAATAGTGCCTTAATTTAGCTTATGAATGCTGAACGTTCCTGGACCCCTCACGACTTTCCCTCTTTCTCAGCGTCCAGTGCGGATGAGGTGGAAGAGCAAGAGCAGGACCAGGAAGAGGACGGGCGCTTTCAGAGGTGAGGCTCTGCCTTTCAGTCCTGCAGCCCCCGAACCAACATGACCTGGTCCCCAGCAACCAAGGCCGGCATTCCCAGGATGTCAGCCACAGAGCCCTGAAAGGAGGGATCCTGGGAAAGCAGTCATCAGGGGGACGCTTGTCAGGCTCCCTGCTCAGGAGCAAACTGTGCTGGGCCAAGGGAAGGTGTCACCAACTTGGGGCAATTCAGGTAGTAGTGGGACGAGGCAGCAAGTGTCAGCCTGGGTCCTGGGACCTTGGACACTGAAGCTTGGGCTCCAGAGTCTAATGACACATGGTCTCTTCCAAGGAGATGTTCCCTTCAGGCTCCTATAAATCCTCAATCCCTTCTCTGCCCTTAACCCATGTAACCCAGGCTCCTAATTCCTATTGTAGACCACCGGGAATTCCTGGAGGAGACCCGGAACCACATTTCTGTTCCAGAAAGGTAAAGAATTCCCCCTTCTCTCCAGTCTCCTTCCTGTGGAGACCCCAGGGTCACCAAGCAACTTCCATCTGACCTGGGAGGGGGAGATCCTGGGACAAGGGGATGTGAGAGCCCTCGGACAAAGGGCAGAAGAGAACTTTGAGGTCCTCATGGCAGGCAGTGGAGGGCCATGGCCCTCACCTGCCTGTCCTGCCTCAGACCCTCTTCTGACTGCAGCTGCGCCTCCTATTTCTTACAGCCTCCTGAGGATGCTCCCTGATGAAGACCATCCTGCTGCTGTGTGCACAAGTCCACCTGCCACAGCCCCGCAGCCACATGGGAAGGACGAGCACACCGCCACTCTGTCCTCAGTAGAGGCTTCCCCCTCCCCTCTCACTCGGAACCTTCTGCCTCTGGCCTCCTCTCCATCGTCAGGCTGGTCCACAACCTCCTCGGATCTTGAGTGTTCACCCACAGCCCTTACTTCCTCCCAGCCCCCAGAGCCCTTGCTTCTGCTGGACAGAATTTCACCTCAGCCACTTCCACACTCCCTCCCCCCACCATGTCCCCTCAAATCTACCACAACCCCCCAACCCTGGTGGGACACTACAGAGAAGCCAAATCAGCAGCTCGGTCCTCATCAACTCTCACATCCCAAGATCCCAGGGCTCCACTTTGAGCAGAAATGGAACCAGCTGTTCTGGGGTCTGCCCTCTCTGCACAGCGAATCCTTAGTGGCTGCGGCCTGGATTTCCCCGAACACTGCTGTTCCCCACTTTCAATCCTCCTCATTTAACAAAACCTCACATTTTCACCCAACTCACCGGCAGGAGAAAATGTCACTGGTGCTTCCTCAGGCCCAGGCCCCCTCCTATCTGGAGCCCCAATCCCCACCCCAATTCCAGCCCCCACTTCTGGGTTATGCCCTGACTCAGACCCACCCACGGTCCTCTCCCCCAGTCCTGTTATCACCTCCTGTGTCCCACAGCAGGGACTGTGGATCAGCCTGCTCTGCACCCCATAGCACCCCACAGTCTCAGGTTCCAACTGAAATTCAACACCCAGGATGGCCCTTGTCCACAAAACAACTGGAGCGTGGGGGTGCTGCGCCCTCAGCAGCCCAAAGTTCTCAGGGGAGCGATAGCCACCCCACTTCCAGCCTTCACCAAGGCAAGTATGCTGCTGCCACCCTTCCTGGGACTTTTCCGCTCAACCCTGAGGTCCGAGCACAGCTGGAGCAGCACATTCAAAGGTGGATCACTCAACACTGTGGAGACCTAGCCAGCAAGACCCAGGGGTCTACAGGACTCACCCAGCCTCCAAGTGACTTGACTCTTTCCTGGGAGGCAAAGGACAAGGCTGGGCCCTCCCATCTGCCCCTGTCTACAGCTGAAAGCAGCCAGGATGAGCAGATGAGGTTCCAGCCAAGCACGAACCCGGTCAGGAATCTGGGGCATATTCTAGGCAATGTCCCAAAAGATCTGTCCAGGGCCTCAAGAAGCTACCCCGACAAGGATCCGTGGGTGCCCTCTGAGGAGTCAGAGAGAACCCTGATGGCGCCCAGGGAGAGAGACACTGGTAATGACTCCCCAGGAAGTGCTGACAGGGGGCACATAGAGGATGTGCTGAAAGTGCACTTGGGCACAAAGAATGGGCAGATCCATCAGGGGCTGATCCCGCTGAGAGTGCGCCTGTCCTGGCTCAGTGTCCACGGTGCCTTTTCCACCTCTGACACCCACGTGGGGACCAGAAAGCCAGCATCCTCCAGGGCTCAGGAAATCTCTATGAACCCCACCGAGAAGTTTTCCGTCTGGTACCCAAGCTGTCTACAGGACCTGGAGACGCACCTCACCAGGTTTAGGGTGAAGCGCAAGTGGGGTCTCCTCCTCAAGCTCCTCAAGGCTGCAAACCTCTTCAGGCCCACAAAGGCGCAGCTCTTATCCTTGCCACAGTTTTCCCCACCCTCCTCATCTTCTGGGGATTCTTGGGTAGACTTGATCCTTGAGGATGCGGAGTTCTTGGGGGAACCACCTGAGGCATTTCCTGAGGATGAGGCCAGGGTCAAGGAGTCTGTCTCTCCACTGGGCAGTCCCCTGGTCTCCCCTCTTGTGCTAGAAGAAACCAAGTCAGAACCGACAGGTGTCCCACTGGTTGATGGTCAGCCTTTATCAGAGGGCCCCCTGTCCGGACAGGATAGCAAGGGCCCTTCAGAGCAACTCACATACAGCAGTGATGACACAATCCGTGACAGCAGGATTGTTCAAATGGTCAGCAGGGCTGACCCAACAGTCCCCTTGCATCCTGGAACATATGTTGCCCAAGATGCAGCAGAGCCAGGCCATTGGGCAGACACCATGAGGACATTTCAGCATGAAGAGATGAAGTCAGCAAACAGTTCTCAAGAGAGTGGCTCGGGGTCCCAGCTTCCAGACAATTTGGTATATGTTCCACCCCAGTGCCATCACCACCTCAGGCCCCTAGGCCAGGTACTTGCTTCACAGAGGTTAGGTGACCTAATGGCACAGAGAGAGTGCAGCCTGGGCCAGCAGAAGCCCAGGGTCCTGATGCACCAGCACTCTCAGAAGAGCCACAGCAGGATGTTTGCCCCCACTTACAAGCAGGAGGTCAGCAGGGGGACTGCCCCAGGGAAACATGAAGACAGGATGGGAGGCTTGGCCTCCCAGGGTTGGGGAAAGCAAGGCCCCCTGGAGAGGGAGCACCCTCGGCATCTCCCACAGAAGCAGCCAGTGCCTTCAGAAGGCCGCTTCAAAAGAGCCCTGAAGAAATTTCTGCAGTGGTTTTTACCCACGAAAAAAATGAAAGGGCAGGAAGATGCCCCCCAAAAAGGCAAGCCTGCAGGGGCCACTTACCGGAGCTGGAGACCGGCCCCAGGCAGACTGCGTGTGGACCGTGGTGCTGATGAGGCTCAGGTGCTCCTGACCCCAGTTGGGCAGATGCTAGACACTAAAATGTGTTTTCACTGTGAAGTTCGTGACCTGAAGTTGAATCAGCACAGACAGGAAGGAGGTCAAGACTCGGTCTCCCAGGCTCCCTGCTCCTTAGAGCACAGGGGAGCAGCAGGATATGTGGTAGCCCCCGAGTACCGCAGCCATGGTCTCAGGGAGAGGCCCCCCCAGGAGTCCTTGAAAACTGGACAGCAAGGTTGGGGGCAGCAGGGCCAGAGGCTTCCCCACCCCTCAGTGCCCATCAAGCCTGTGTGCCCTGTCAGCCCTGCCCAGCGTGGCCCCTCAGTCTCCAGGGCACCAGGCCAACATCACTGCCCCAGGCATTCTCTTTGGAGAGGGGTCTTAACTGAGCAACCGAGAGATTTCTCTCCACTCTTTCTTACTAGGGAGCACCTCCAGGAGCACAATATGCGATGTAGCAGAAAATGATTTTCTCACACTCTCCATCCCTGAGACTTACTATAGCCCAATATACCTATTTTTCCTCCTAAGGGGGAAGTGGTTTGTGTCTGCTCTGTGCTTGCGGTGGGCTCTGGTGTCTGGAGGGGTGGAGTGTGGTAGAGGGTAACTGGGGTACAAGCCCACGTCCACCTGAGTTCCTTCAGTGATCCCCTTTTCCATCATTAGGGGAACAAAAATTCTAAAGACAAGCAGAGGAAAAGCAGTGAAGAGCCCACCCTGGCATCTGGTTCACCCCACCTTGCCACTTCTCCCTCTACCTTACATCAGTGCAGGATCCAGGGACACAGAGACCTCTTAGGCTGAAAATTCCCACACACTTGAGCAAGGGTAGAGCCAGGTAGCTGCAGGGGTCCCAGAATGGGTGGCAGTTGGCACAGAGGATGGTGGGCCCTGAGATCAGGAGCAGGAGAGATCTTGCCCTCCATCAAGGATCAGATGGTGGCGATCAGAGGATGGCACCCTTGGGAAGCCCTGCCTCTCCGTGGCAAAGGCCAGGATGGAGAGGGGCTTTCTGGGCTCAGCTTTGATGGAAAGTTCAGAGTCCCTGTCCCAGGATCCTGGCTCCCTCATTCTAGAGCAGCAGTGAGGAGGGAAAATCCAGCTGTGTGTCAGGAGGCCCTGCTCCTGGTCACTTGTCCTGGCCATCTCACATGGCCCAACTCCAGTCAGTGGTTCTGGGCTGTGGATGTGAGGCTCAGTAACTGATGCTCAGGCGCTGGGCACAGTGTGGGCTGTGGGAGGAAATGGAAAAGACTGGAGCTGAGGTGGGAGCAGAGTGGCCTGAGGCCAGTGTGACTGGTGGGGGTATGGGGCGCTTCCAAGGCTTAGCTGCCATCCAGCAGCTGACAGGAGGGGCCATCAGGGGCCATGTGGCTCCTTCTGGTCCCACCCCAGGGCCCTGCTTGCTCCACATCCTGACCCAGAGACAGAACCTTTAGGTCCCACACGGAGCCAGGTTTGAGAAGGAGCAGAGTGTGCCAGTGAATATATATCATCAATCGATTTCTTATTAGTACATCTGGTCTAGTTGCCTATGTTCACCTCCTGCAGAGAGGATGAACTGATGGTGGAGAGCACAGGACAAGGGTCCCTGAGATGTGATTCAGAATCCCTTGACCTTTACATATATGTGCAGGACTGCTGCTAGACAGGGGGTGTGAGGTTGACGGGCTTCCCTGGTGTCACACAGCAAGTCCTGCCTGGCTGCCAGCCCTGCTTACCCACAAGCCCACAGGGAAGGGGTGGTCACACAGGTTTGCACCACCAGGAATCTGGAAGTGACTGTCCAAGTGTCCTGGGGCAGCGCTGGTCCAGAATGAGAGCCTGCTCTCTTGTCACTTTGTAACATGAGCTTCCCTTTCTGTGGGTCCTGATCCTAATGGAAAAGCAGGAGGGCTGCAGAATCAGGGAGAGAGGAGCTGTTTCCCGTGTGTGGCACCTAGGCCAACATCAGTGCCCCAGGCAGTCGTCTCTTTGGAGAGGCTCTGCTCCACGGGCCTTGGTCCTGGAGCCGAGCATCCCTCAGTGGGCCAAGCTGACCCAGACACAGGTGAGAGGCCCTGGCTCCCTGTGGGGATGTCCTCCACCTGGGTGTTTGGGTAAAGAGGCACCACTTGTTGGGCCTGGCTGGTGGTGCTGCAGGCTGCCCGCAGCCTCGTCCTCTCTCGAGGAACTGGATGCCTGTGTGGGTCCCCAGAGCGGACCCAACTGGTGAAGAGGAGTGGGACTTGCAGGAGGGGCTGGGCCCTGGGGCACAGAATAGCCCTGGTACCTTGGGATGGTAATTTATCTGGGAGGATTCTCAGATTTGTATAGGAATCATACTGATGGCTATGATTTATTATGTCTGTATGATACAATGTACACTCAACAAATGGATAAAGATCCAGGGTGTGAAGACACTGGGAAACCATGTACAGGCTTCTAACAGTCCTTTCCCAGTAGAATTATGCAAGGCACATTCAATATCTCCAGCAATGAATTGTCACAACCTGGGACATGTCTTCTAAGAAATACCACCAAAGGATGAGAACACAAGCACTGTACTGAGAGCTACCACATAAGCCCATTTAAACATCCCTTGATATATGTTTTTTTCAAACTTTCAGGATCACAGGTATTCAATACAAATTACATTCTTGGCTCATATAATGAAGGTGAAATGCATTTCATCTAGTCTCTGAAGAGTGCAGAAACTTTGCAATATTTCAAATTCCTGGATGTACATGGTTTCTTTGTACACAATTTCCTACAAAACCCCACTTCCTAGGGAGGACGAAGCAGGCCATCTTCAAAACTGCCATTACAGTCCTGCTCAGTTACCGGTTTTCTGCAAAGTAATAGAAATTACTCAAGGCCAAAGGAAACAATAACGAAGGAACATAGCAACGACAGAAATAGAGAAAAGGAAATGTAAAGTAGATGGAAACATGTATATCAATAATCTCTGGAGATATAAATGGATTAAATTATTCAGAGGCAGATACAAGATTTTTATAATGCTGTTTCCATATGATATCTGAATACATTTTTAATTCACATACACAAATAGTACAAGAAAAGTAGCAAAAAATAAAAAACCAGTATGAGAGCCATTATAGCCTATCGTAATTAAAAAGCAATCAATCCAAAGCAATAAAATTTCATGAACTACAAAGAGCAGCATTTTCAGTAATAAAGGAAAAATGGAGAGAGAGAATCATGAAAGTGCATCGTAATCAGCCTTCCATATCCGTGATTTCCACCTCTGCAAATACAACCAAACACGAGGCAAAAATATTTTTTGAACTGTGTCGCTTCTCAGTTTTCCTCATCAACATTATCTAAACATTACAGCAAAACTATTTTCATTGAGTTAGGTATTAGGAAGAACCTAGAGACAGTATAAAATGTAAGGGAGAATCTGTAGGTTCCATGCCAGTACTGTGCCAGTACTGTTCCATGCCAGTATTTATTTTACATAAATTTGTCGAGCATCAGTGCATTCTGCTACTGCAGGAGGTCCTGGAACCAACCATCTCTGGGTGCTAAGGCATTATTTATTTTATGTACAAAGGAGGAGAGCTCTAAACACATGAACCAAAACCTGACAGAGCTGAGGGGGAAAGCTTACAACAGCAAAAAAGCCAAAGATTCTGTCCTTACAGTCAATGATGTGTATGAAACCTAAGCAGAAGAAAAACAAGCACACGGAAGACTGGAACACTATGCAAAAGACCAGAATAAGTACAGAGTACTTCACTGATCAGCAGAACAGACATTTTTCTCAAACACATGTGCAATCTGTCCAAGATAGGTTATATGCTAGCTGCTAAGCCATAAAACAAGTATTGGTAAATTGAAAAAGCATCATGTAAAGTATATTGTCTGACCATAATTAATCAAGTCTCTAAACAAGTAAAGGTTAGTCAGTTTAATAATATTTGGAAATCAGTACCACATTTCTAAATACCCATTGGCTCAAAAGGAATTTCAAGAGAAGTTAGACGATACTTTGCCAGAACTCATGGGATGTAAACAACGAAATTCTTGGGATACATTTTATATGTATAAGGCATACTTTTAAAAGACAAGCCAAGGGGGAGGAGCAAAGATGGCAGATAGACAACAACTGGCTACAGAAGCTCCCTGGTTGGTCATACACAGTTTTTATCAAATTGAAGTAGGAACCTTCTGTAAATATTTCCTTCAGAATTTTTGTCATGAGTAGGTGTTGGCTTTTGTTAAAAGCTTTTTATGCATCTGTTGATATGACCACGTGAATTTTGTCTGTGCTTCTATTTATGTGTTGCATTCAGCCCCACTTTCTCAAAACCCGTGAGACAAGAGCCAGGGAGCTCAAGTGAACCCCAAGGCAGGGCCACGTGGCAGAGGACTCTTGCTCATGGTGTAGCAATCAGGAAGCAGAGAGAGATGAAGGCAAGTGGAGGTATGTACCCTTCTGGGCCACACTCCCAGTGACCCACCTGTTCCCACCATGCCTCACCCCCCCCATATCACCTTTAGCTATAAGCTCATCTTTGACTAATCTGCTGATGAGTGTCATGCCTCTCTGATCCAGTCACCTCCCAAAGCACCCTGCCATGACAGCATGAGGCTTTGGGGACATCTAGTTATAAACTATAACAAGGGAAGTCCCTTCCTTCCTCTGGGGTCTTATAATATTGAATAAATTGAGGGTAGAAAAATTCCAAAATTGGAATTCCTGGATTCCCAGAGAGCCCTCAACAACAGGAATGGGTATCAGCAAACTTAATACAACCAAACTTTTGCCCATGAAAAGGCTACAACAAGAATAAATGTTTACCTACTCATTAGGCTCATTTTTTTCTTGGACTACTTAGTGAGGCAGGTGTTATTTTATGTGTTTTATCATTGTCATGTTCAGATGAAAAAATAGTCCCAAAGAAAAAAGATGAATTTACCAAGGCAAAGTTTATGGCTTTACATGGTTCAGTAAGACCAAAAAAGACAAAAAGTAAAGTTCTTTGCTTTTATATGGAATTATCATTTTTGTAATATAACCAAGACAATCCAGATGAGGGGGGAGAAGTGCATTTTTGCTTAGCAGATGCCTTTCCAAACAGGAGGCCAAAGGGGGAGGTGGCAATCAATGGTACCCAATAAGATTGGTTTTCTTCTAAAGTAGAGCTCTTCCAGCTCCAAAAGCACTGAGTCCAAGAAAACCTGGCTTCTTATGTGCATTGACACCGAGCTGCCACGAGGTGTCACAACTCTCCATAATGAAATGAAGCTCGGCGAGCATGAAATCTCGCTCTTGCTTTCTCCAACTAGAATATGCTTGCTGTTTTGTTTTTTTAGAAATTCAACCTTTTTTTAAATTTAAGGAGAACTAGTTTATATACACAGTTATAATTTTGGCCTGGAATTTCTTCCACCTTCCTGCCCTTCCTCCACTCCTTGATAACTCTGAAATCATCACCTATGACATCATTTCTCTAGAGAATCTCCCCTCCCCGGGTGAGGTACATTCCCTGAG